ACCTGTCCTTGACTTAGGGACGCTCTGGAGGTCAATTGTTCAAATGATTTAGTGAAAATTCACAATATAATAACAGTCATAGCTTTGTGTGAGATTTGTTATTAAGCCCGGGGTAATTTAGTTATCAAGTGTATTCATCTAGCCAAGTATCGACGTTCATCGAAGACTCCACCGATCAACCCCTTCATAGGTGGTTCTAATCTGTTCTTTCCGTTTAGAAGTCAGAATGCTTTTGGGAATACGAAAAAAATCTTAAGGCTCACGCTGCCACAAGGCAACACCACTTCCTTGAGATTCCGTGTAAACCTGCAGATTAGGACAACCCACCTACACACAGGAAGACGTTCAGGTCAGAGTGCACATCTACACCTTGCAACATCTACATAATGGTGGGGACAGAAATGGCCCCAACACAGGGCTTGTCTCCAAAGATATAGATATATTGTCTCTCCTTGGGGTTTCCGAACACCGTGATATCCCCATTACACCCTGACAGCTTCCCTGCAGCCATCCCATTACACATCTACACCTTGTTCCCACCATCATGGAGCAGAATACGTCCCCAGTACAACTGGTTTGTCTCCCCTGCATATACAGGAAGCTGTCATATAAATCACTCACATTCCCACTATAAGAACATGATTCCGATACAGCATCCTTGTCCTACTATATGGGTTCCTTTGGAAGAAATGGGTCCTGTAACTACAATACTGTCACAGTAGCGTTACACCAACATCATATTCCAATATTTGTAAGACAATATCCCCGGTACACCCTGCCTGTATCCCAGTGGTAGTTCTGGGGATGGTTTGGTGTTATCTCTGTGGTGCGCTATGGAAGTAGTAGAGATCCTCAGTACACCAAGACAACGTGTGGTTCCCAGTCTACCATGAATGACACACTGTTGTTCAGATAGATCCACAGTCCACCAGTCTACGTCGTGAACTGTACCGTGATAGGATCGTTGTTAAAACCCTAATGGTTTGTTTGAGGATATAGATGATTCGTGGTGGTAAATTACTGATGACAATAGTGAAATAGCATTCACTTTCACGATGTTCATACCAGTTGATATATCACGAGTATTTATTCATAATACTCAGAGTTTCTCAGGGAATGATTTAACAATTGATGGAATGGTAAGGACTTGAGCCGTGTGCACATACCGAAATTTCAAAACGAAAGTTGTGCCATTTATACTCCCGTATTGAAACTGGTTTTGGTTATTTTGTTTGTTTTCAGTATCAACATTAGTGAATAACATTTACCCATCATGGAGCTTCCGGAAGAAGAATTAAGATGTCACTGAGTGGCTTTCTGTCACCCGTGTCAGACATAACGTAACAATAGTAGCCTTGCTTGTAGAAAACCCAAGCGATTCAGTCTAAATGGATTCACCAACGTCTTGACATAGTAACTATGAGTGCCAGCTAGCATTTCACGTAAATGCCACTACTTCTTTAAGATGAGGCCGTCTCATCCCGAGCACCCCTCCTCAGACTGGGTAATTGCCCGAGTCTAGGCCATTTACAATTTCCTGGCACTTTCTCTAATTGTATTCTTATTGTATCTTCAATGTAGCGTTCGCTGGCCTGCAGACTGATGATTAGCCTGTTGATTGTGGCTTTACCTGCCCCGTAAGTCTACATTCGGATGACATCCCTGGCCTCTGAGAACGCTGGAGTAGTATATCCTGTCAATCAGATGTCGAGAAGCAGGTTCAGCGCATATTCTTTATGTTTTATATCAATCACGACATTGTTGATGGAGTCGGTCTCATTATTTGGGTTACCTGTTTGTCATTCAGTATAATAGACTTGTGTTGTGTGTCAAAAGACTTGGTTTTAAGACTGTATTAATTGCCGACCTCTACTATCTTATCCTCTATGTGCCTTCAATCAGGCCACCAACACAGCCAACAATAAGTGAGACAGCGTGATTTAACTTCGCTTCGAACACTATAGCTATTCTAGCCCGGCCTGTCTGAGTAGGCTGGGACGAGTAGAACTCTGGGGGACAGCGAGATGTTTTTAGACAGATCTACTAATTACATGACAGATAGTGATAGCACGAGTACACAAACCATTGAAGTTTAATGACAGTCAGCAATATTTTCAAGTCATGTCACAAATCTTGGGCAGAAATATATGTTGCACGATCCAACCAACATTCGCCACCACTCGGCCCTTGCCGTAACTGAAAAAAGGGTTGTCCGGAATGTCACGTGTGGGTAACGACTGATTCAATTAGGGGAACTCGTGTGAGCACTGAATCTTCATTATAACGGCTCTAGCAACCAATATGGGGCCCTAGTGGCCAATGGGTTGAGCTTGACGCTCCATCGAACAGTATCTCGATTTCACCTTCACTTGGAAAGAAATCACGAAGTCAAGAAAATCTCAGAGGTCTACAACTTTGTTGAAACCCCGGAGAATGGGTATGATGGTGACAGACCTCGAAACATAATCGGGTGAACCTGGGTTCGGACCAACGGACATAGGTTTGTCGTGTCCAAGAAACGCAACTCTGCATGATGAATGTGCAGAGCATTGGAGGATCCAGGGGTGTGTGTGTGTGGTGTGTGGGGGTTTGTGTGTGTTCGACAGCCCCCACCCACATTGAAGGGATCACATTGGCGGAGTCTCTTTTCAAAATTCCTGGATCCGCCCATGCAGAGCCTATGACAAAAAGACGCCGCTTTTGTAGAAAGTGAGCGAATTATTTCAGTGTTTGGTAAAAGCCGTGATGCAGGTCTAAGACAGTTGCCACGTTGATGCTGCAAAGGAGCATTGGCATTGTTCAGTGCAGACAGATAATCAGGGCAAACCTTGGATTTAAACCCACATGATGATTATCCTGTCACGGCCTAGGGACATCACTCTGTAGAGGGCGTTGTGACGCATAATATCAGTATATCAGATCCATCTTAGTGTAATAAACCTGAATGCATTGTCTTATTCTACAATGGTTATGATAATTCCATCTTAGTGTTATAAACCAATGCATTGTATTCACAATGGTCAGACAGGAGTATATCAGATGATAATTCCATCAGATGATAATCTCCATCTTAGTGTAATAAACCTGAATGCATTGTCTTATTCTACAATGGTCAGACAGGAGTATATCAGATGATAATTCCATCTTAGTGCAATAAACCTGAATGCATTGTGTTATACCTGAATGCATTGTCTTATTCTACAATGGTCAGACAGGAGAATATCAGATGATAATTCCATCTTAGTGTAATAAACCTGAATGCATTGTCTTATTCTACAATGGTCAGACAGGAGTATATCAGATGATAATTCCATCTTAGTGTAAGACAGGAGTATATCAGATGAAATTCCATCTTAGTGTTATAAACCTGAATGCATTGTCGTATTCTACAACGATAAGACAGGAGAATATCAGATGATAATTCCATGTTAGTGTTATAAACCTGAATGCATTGTCTTATTCTGCAACGATATCATCACAAACAACACCCTAGTACTAGGCAGCACTCCCTGTCCCTGCTAAACTGATGCAGGAGGTACATCGGATAAAATAGTCATTGTGTGCTAGACCTTGGGACACTCATCTCGTTTGGTCTGATGTGTCTTCAAATCACGTCCCACACAAACCCTATTCACGGATCCCTCGCCATTGATTTTTTGGATCTCGAGACACTGTAGCAGAAGCTTTGGCCAGCTTGTCCACAGCGCGGAGTGTTGGCCACAGCTATGGGCCTATAGTCGAGCAGGCTGTCCTACAGCGCTGATGTCGTTAAAGGTGCCAGCTCCTTCAACGTGTGAGAAGGGTCGTTACAGCAGGGGCTGTATTAGTTGCTGAAGTCCCGCTAATCGACACATGTTGGAAAGTAATGTGAATTAATTGCGCTAGGTACCAGTAGTATTGTCAGGCCCTGTGGGATTAGGCACTGTTAGGCCTGAGAGGGCTGGGTGGTGTTTATGAAGTAGGAAAGTCCCCGTTCTTTGTTATATAGCAACGAGAAGAATCAGCAGATGGCAGCAGTCACTCGGTATTTTCCGCGGAACATATTCATCCAATCTCACGCAGCAGAGATTGTCGTAATGCTTAAGCTCTGCTCCTTAAAAGGTTTCTCATCGATTTCTATTAAATTAATAACTGAAACAATACATTATTTGATTCGAAATATGTCTTGTTTTGTGTAACGAAGTCTATAGGGAAAAACAGCTGTATATGTATTAGAAAAGTACATAGACAGCACTCAAACCCATTGCAATAATGAACCAATCGTTCAAACTAGTAGCAACCTATATATGACTCAGTAGATCGAATTTGCATCAGAGCAGAAATACTTTTAAAGTTGATTGAGATCTTCTCAGTAAGAATCGTCACAGATAGACCCTTACTCTAAGGTTAACAGTACAACGAACAAGCTTCCCCATCCCGCCGTCAATTGGAGGAACATCCTCTAGCATCGTGTCAGTATAGAACCATCCTCATATGCAGCCTCTTACACACGTCCAAACCTCCAGATGCCGTGAACGTTTCATCAAATCGCTATAAATATTGTATATAATTCTAACACGTCACGATAACTGCCAAACAGTGTTTGACAAACATTAATCAAACATGAAGAGGTGATCTGGTGGTTGTCAGTATCGAGGTAATAAATCTAATAACACACTTGTCGATAACGTCATATGTCTGTTTCCTCGTTTCTCGTGGTGTTCGCGAGAGTTTGCTGTACAATCTGTAACGTGCTCCAGTGAGATGTATGTTGGATATTACTATCACTCCTAGGTCATTGGCCGATCCATCGTCTTATGTTTACGGCTTACTCTATCGATTATATGTGGAACAATATATACCACTATCTACGAATCAGATGCATTATTGATCTGGTTTGATATCTCAAGGTAACATGCAGCGTATACTAATGATCATAAACGTCCATTGTATCGAATGTAAACATTTATTTCAAGGAAAAAGTGAAGTGATTAAATTAAAATTGTATGAAATTTACTTACCTCTGATAAAATCTACAGCCTGCTCTAGGCCGTATATATCCCTGTCACAGTCGTCCTTGGTGAGGATTCCAAGACGAATTCCGGGTAAAATATCGCTTTCGTTGCTGTTGATGTAATCCAGGGTATATAACATCGTCTCGAGAGCCTGTATCCCACCCTGAGCCATGATACGTCCACACACCTTGTCCTCACTCCTTGCATGGATCATATGCAACGCTCCTAAGACCACGTCTCCAGCGACGACGGACGCTAAGTCCCTGTGTGGCCAGGTGTAATTTTTATACCTCCCATGAATCTCCATCCGTGTCCCTAAGTGCAATCCACCCGGGTTCCAGTCCGTGGCTTGGAGCATCACACAGCGGAAGAACGACACCAGGAGTCCATAAAGGACTACCCGAAAACTTCCAACACAGGAAAAGTTAGGGGTCATTCTCCAGAGCATTGCCTGCCAAACGCACTCTCTTGAAGACTTTGAGCTCCGAGCGGAGGTTGCGAGCGCTCGTCGGTCGGTAGCGCTTTGAGAGACGCCTCCAAGACTGGCCTGGCGACACTGGCGCACCGGTTCTGATTGATCTGCAATCAGGACTCGAGTTTGGTCAGACCGTCACTGCCAGTCCAACATAATCCATTTGTTAAGTTGCTTCGAAAATTTGAAAGAAAAAGATCACAGGACATGTCTGTGAGAGGCCCGGGGGAACCTGCTGATGACGTCACGAACATAGCGTTCATTTGCCAGCGAATTGAAGACTTCCTCTTCTTAAATTTGACCACCCCTCTCGACCAGTGAAAAGTGCTCCAGAATCTACTTGATTAACCTTCTGACTTTTCCTTCTCCCAGTGACGCGTGAACACTGACCACTGCCATAGAATCTTTCTACGCGAATAAACCGTAAAACGGACCAATTTAAACGCTGACCAGTACAACGTTGTGTTTGACATGGTCAATCAAGTAATGCCAGGATCTGTCTACATAGATGATGGTTCAGTATTAGGTAGGGCGAGGGTTAAGAATTACAAGGGGTGAAAACTTGATAACTTCCAATGGATAAGTGAATAACGTCAGTTCAGTGTTAGGATGATAGTGAAGTTATATGCACGATCATGCATCGTAAGTAAGCTTGTTTGACACAGGATGGTTACAGAAGCTGAGTAAAAACACTTGACTTGCAGCAAACGGTTAATGGGAAACGCATATTAGCCCGCAAACACTTTAATTAATTGTACCAATATATCTTGTGAGTCGCTGGGAGATGGCGGGGAGGGTCGTCAGTTCTGCAGGGAAGTGGATGTGGTGTGTCAGGGAGGGGCGTGGCTGTGTCTTCACGGTATCGATCTGTGACAGTGGATGTCAACGCGCACGCGGAGAGAGAGAAAGAAAGGAGTAAGGGGAAATGAGGGTCTGGCACGACGCCAACAAGGAGAGAGAGACTGTTGGAAATGCACGGGGGTGAAAGGTGGGTGGTGGAAGGAGAAAGTTATGACGTTTTGGATTGGAAAGGGAGAAGAAGGGAGTACGAATGAATGTTAATACCGTGACACGGAAAGGGGTGTGGGGACACGCTAGGCTGGGGTAACGGGAGAGGGACACGCTAGGCTGGGGTAAGGGGAGAGGGACACGCTAGGCTGGGGTGAGGGGAGAGGGACACGCTAGGCTGGGGGGTAAGGGAGAGGGACACGCTAGGCTGGGGTGAGGGGAGAGGGACACGCTAGGCTGGGGTGAGGGGAGAGGGACACGCTAGGCTGGGGTGAGGGGAGAGGGACACGCTAGGCTGGGGTGAGGGGAGAGGGACACGCTAGGCTAGGGTGTGGGGGAGAGGGACACGCTAGGCTGGGGTAACGGGAGAGGGACACGCTAGGCTGGGGTGACGGGAGAGGGACACGCTAGGCTGGGGTGAGGGGAGAGGGACACGCTAGGCTGGGGTGAGGGGAGAGGGACACGCTAGGCTGGGGTAAGGGAGAGGGACACGCTAGGCTGGGGTGGGGGGGAGAGGGACACGCTAGGCTGGGGTGAGGGAGAGGCTGCGGGGTGAGGGGAGAGGGACACGCTAGGCTGGGGTGAGGGGAGAGGGACACGCTAGGCTGGGGTAACGGGAGAGGGACACGCTAGGCTGGGGTGAGGGGAGAGGGACACGCTAGGCTGGGGTGAGGGGAGAGGGACACGCTAGGCTGGGGTGAGGGGAGAGGGACACGCTAGGCTGGGGTAAGGGAGAGGGGGACACGCTAGGCTGGGGTGAGGGAGAGGGACACGCTAGGCTGGGGTGAGGGGAGAGGGACACGCTAGGCTGGGGTGAGGGAGAGGGACACGCTAGGCTGGGGTAAGGGGAGAGGGACACGCTAGGCTGGGGTGAGGGGAGAGGGACACGCTAGGCTAGGGTAAGGGGAGAGGGACGCGGTAGGCTAGGGTGAGGGGAGAGGGTGAGGTCAATTCAGAGACAGAAACAATCAGAGGTTGGATTTAAAGTAGAAGAAAGAATGGGAAACATCGGAATTAAGGGGGGGGGGGGAGATGAGGTAGACAGTGCGCATGTATTTCCCAAGGAGAGGGAGAAGATATGGGGTGGGTACGGGGACGGGTGGAGAAAGGGGACATACAGTGAGGGGAAAGGCTGGGAAGGAGGGAATAATTAAAGAGAGTGATACAGTGAGAGCTGCGGAGGAGAGATGTTTAGAGACAGAGGTTAGGGAGAGAGAGATTGGGAAAGACGGAAGTTTGGGAGAGAGAGATTGGGAGAGAGCAATAACGAGACAGACAGAAAGATGAAAGAAATAGCACTAACTATGTAACTCAAGGGTTTTCAAACAGGTTATAGACATTTTGGAAAAAATATTAATATATTCTTTTATACTCTGATCAACCTCCAGCATAAATAAGGAACCTTTAAAGCCAGGTCCAGATTATTCAAGAACTGCTTGTCTGGGTAAACAGAACCAGCCGACATATTCCAGTGACTGTGCAGGTTATGAACAGCCAAGCGCGTGTGGTGCGGCTATCAGTCAGGCTCCTCATCGACCACTGATACATACTAAAGCTAGTTATAGACGCCAGTCCTGTGGCACATGTAGATAAGTCCCACTACTTGCACGGGAATCTATCTGGCCTTATCTATGATGCTGTACTAATGAGGACAAGGAATCTGATGCTACAAATTAGGTAGAATAAGTGAGCAAATTGATTCTTTGTTGGGGTAAAGTTTTGTCAGTTTGCTGATACAAGTGAGTGAGTGAGTGAGTTTAATTCTACGCCGCACTGAGCAATATTCCAGCTATATGGCGGCGGTCTGTAAATAATCGAGTCTGGACCAGACAACCCAGTGATCAACAGCATGAGCATCGATCTGCGCAATTTGGAACCGATGACATTTTGTCAACCAAGTCAGAGAGCCTGACCACCCGATCCCGTTAGTCGCCTCTTACGACAAGCATGGGTTACTGAAGATCAATATTCTAACCCGGACCTTCGCGGGTATTGCTGATGCTAAGCTGAAAATAGTTATTTAGTTTCAAAAATCATTTTTGTATATTAGGTCAACCAAGTGAAACTCAAGAAGTCGTCTGCTGTGACCTGTCGTCTGTCGTCTGCTGTCTGGTTGTGAACGTCTATATTGTGGTCACCTCCCCTGAAGCGACAGGGTCTCTGAAGCAGGAACGTGGTAGGAATGATCCCAGCTAGGGATCTCTGAATGCTGCTCACGGAATTTCGATCGGAATTCAAACTCGACAGCCGTTATTTCTTCATAATTCAAGTGTATTAAAGAGTCTGGTGGGTATATTTCTTAAATTGACTGTAGAGGTTCCCGGTGGTATAGGCCATACAGCTGGTTGAGGTGATGAATGTGCAAATGTGCAGTATACCAGCTATACCACACAGGACTCGGAGTAGACCGGCAGTATACCAGCTATACCACACAGGACTCGGAGTAGTCCAGCAGTGTACCAGCTATACCACACAGGACTCGGAGTAGACCAGCAGTATACCAGCTATACCACACAGGACTCGGAGTAGTCCAGCAGTATACCAGCTATACCACACAGGACTCGGAGTAGTCCAGCAGTATACCAGCTATACCACACAGGACTCGGAGTAGACCAGCAGTATACCAGCTATACCACACAGGACTCGGAGTAGACCAGCAGTATACCAGTTATACCACACAGGACTCGGAGTAGACCAGCAGTATACCAGCTATACCACACAATACTCGGAGTAGACCAGCAGTATACCAGCTATACCAGGACTCGGAGTAGTCCAGCGGTATACCAGCTATACTACACACTACTCGGAGTAGACCAGCAGTATACCAGCTATACCACACAATACTCGGAGTAGACCAACAGTATACCAGCTATATCACACAGGACTCGGAGTAGTCCAGCAGTATACCAGCTATACCAGGATTCGCAGTAGTCCAGCAGTATACCAGCTATACCAGGACTCGGAGTAGTCCAGCAGTATACCAGTTATACTACACAATACTCAGAGTAGACCAGCAGTATACCAGCTATACCACACAATACTCGGAGTAGACCAACAGTATACCAGCTATATCACACAGGACTCGGAGTAGTCCAGCAGTATACCAGCTTTACCAGGATTCGCAGTAGTCCAGCAGTATACCAGCTATACCACATAGGACTTGGAGTAGTCCAGCAGTATACCAGCTATACCACACAGTACTCGGAGTAGTCCAGCAGTATACCAGCTATACCAGGACTCGGAGTAGACCAGCAGTATACCAGCTATACCAGGACTCGGAGTAGACCAGCAGTATACAGCTATACCAGAACTCGGAGTAGTCCAGTCTGGACCAGGATCATCAGACGACAAAACACTCCATATGATCATCAGACGACAAAACATTCCATATGATCATCAGACGACAAAACATTCTATATGATCATCAGACGACAAAACATTCCATATGATCATCAGACGACAAAACATTCCATCAGACGATCATTCCAGATCATCAGACGACAAAACATTCCATATGATCATCAGACGACAAAACATTCTAAATGATCATCAGGAGACTAAACATTCCATATGATCATCAGACGACAAAACATTCCATATGATCATCAGACGACAAAACATTCCATATGATCATCAGGAGACTAAACATTCCATTTGATCATCAGACGACAAAACACTCCATATGATCATCAGACGACAAAACACTCCATATGATCATCAGACGACAAAACACTCCATATGATCATCAGGAGACTAAACATTCCATATGATCATCAGACGACAAAACATTCCATATGATCATCAGACGACAAAACATTCCATATGATCATCAGGAGACTAAACATTCCATTTGATCATCAGACGACAAAACACTCCATATGATCATCAGACGACAAAACACTCCATATGATCATCAGACGACAAAACATTCCATATGATCATCAGGAGACTAAACA